CAACCCGGGCATGTGCCCTGACCGGGAATCGAACCCCGATCGCCTGGATCCTAGGTCGATGCTCAACCGCTGAGCCACGCCTGGCCGGGGTAATATACAGTTTTTAAAAAAGAGAACAAGTTACAAAGAGAACTATAAACATTTCCAATATTTTAAGAAATCTATAACAAAATTGACCTGAGAATCTATCCACTTATCCACCCAAATTCTCTGATTTATTCTGGAGACAGGGCACCTTATTGCTAAGATTGGCTCTTCTGCTGTTCTGTCTACTTAGTGCCTTGTGTTCATGAACTTTTANAATATTTTAAGAAATCTATAACAAAATTGACCTGAGAATCTATCCACTTATCCACCCAAATTCTCTGATTTATTCTGGAGACAAGGCACCTTATTGCTAAGATTGGCTCTTCTGCTGCTCTGTCTACTTAGTGCCTTGTGTTCATGAACTTTTAACACATTTTCACTCCTTGATCATCCATTTCTCTGGGAAATGGATCTGAATAGATACAATGATGTNTTTTCACTCCTTGATCATCCATTTCTCTGGGAAATGGATCTGAATAGATATAATGATGTGTTTTGGGTTTTTTTTAAAATATATCTTTATTGATTTCAGAGAGAGGAAAGGAGAGGGGGAGAGAGAGAGAGAAACATCAATGATGAGAGAGTCATTGATTGAGCCCGCAACTGGGCATGTTCCCTGACTGGGAATCAAACCCCGATCACCTGGATCCCAGGTCGACACTCAACCGCTGAGCTACGCCCGGCCGGGCTTGTGTGTTTTTTTAATATCACAGAAATGTTGTCTCAGAGGCTGAAACGCAATTTGTGACTCAATATATTTTCATCTCTATAACACAAGAATAGCATTGCATTTGTATAATATGCAAATTCATTGTTTTATTCAAAACAACCATCTTGAACAAGATTCAGAACGGGGGACAAGTTTTTATTTTTTAATTTATTTATGCTCCATCTCATTCTTAAAAGGATCCAAGGCTGCTTATAAGATGATATAATAAGCTCATTATATAAATCATATAGTAAGACCTGGTGAATTAAACTCTGTGAGAAAATTGAAGCAAGGGGAAAATATTGGTGAGCCATCAGAAAAGTCTGTAGGGGGACAGTATATCGTGAAGGTCTATCCTGCTAGAAATGGGCCACAAATTTGGCTTGAAGCCCTCTACTCAGAGGGGAAATCTCCATTTCATGATAAACAGGGTCCTTTCAGAGTAAAAAGCACAAATAAGAAGCACAGATTCCCAGCACTGAGACCAAAGAGAAGTGTACCCCATTGTTTATCACTCAGTTCTGTAGAATAACAAAGCTGACAAGAACAAAACAGAACCAAATATCAGAGAACTGCTTCTTAGAAAAACTTCCACAAGGACTTTAACATGGGCAGCTCGATGTTCGGTGTGGTAAACCTGACCACTTGCAATGGGGTCTAGATTGCTATTCTATTGACTGGCTTTATCCAGATGGATGTATGGCTTGGGACTTGATTAATTAAATTTATTTGAGAATAGTAAACATTGCTTGCGTCTACCAAGTTTTTGATTAGTGTTAAGTGGACAGAATTTAATGTTAACAATAAGAGTGAATTTAAACAATTAACCAAACAGGGGTAGGATTTGTCAAGCCAGAAAACTACCATAAGGGCTTACATGATCCAGGGATTATTTTTAAGGTGTCTATAGTAGATTCCTACCATTAGTGTGGTGAGCTCTGATTATAGAAGACTTGTCCATACTTGTCACTATCAAAGTGTTGTGTTTGAAGTGCTATAAATAGAACCTTTATCTCAGTGATAATTACTTAAGGTATCAGAAACTCACATAGCAGTGGAAGAAGATAGATTGATTCTAAGTAGAATCTCCATAACTCGAGTATTTAAGATCTGCAGAGAAAGAGAACACAAGTTGCACTTCTGAAGGTCAAAGAGAATTATTTCTAAGAAACGTGTAGCACTAAAGTACTGTTTTAGAATTTTCATTGTGCTACTTGAAAGAGTAAGCGTTAGGGGTTTGGGCTCATAAATGCAAATATATTTATCACAGTTTCAATTAATTTTTCCTTTCACCATTTTCATGTGTTCAGATCTACTTCTGAGAATTAAATCTCAAAAAGATCAAGGTACAAAGAGGAATCCCTTGTATATAATACTGTAGCATATGTATAAGATCTTTGGGATAGGGAGAACTGGAGGGTAGATATCTAAGTGAGCTGTATTTTAAATAATTTTTTTTAAAAGAAATACTTCTTATTGCAAAAATTCTAATTAAATGAAATGACAACTAGTTTTTTCTTCTACATTCCATGCTTAGAAATAATATTTTGTTTGGGTAAACACAACTTTTTGTGGCTTGTCCCTGGTCATCAGGTCTAAGGGGAGTTTATAGAATTTAGTGACTCACAGCTGATCATTCAACAGGTGTGGGGGTTTGAGGAAATGTCCATTTTTATGGTAATGAACAGCTTGTATTTGCAAAGCGAATGGCTTAATCTTAAAGTCTATGATTAAATTAGCTGTGAGGTCCCTTATGTTTGTTATAGGACTTTAGCTCCTACAATCTTCATCTTCTTCCTCTGAGGCATTGCATTTCACCACAGGACCGGATACCAGCATTTCACCCTTATTTATCAGCAGTGTGTGTTCAATCTAGTGTAGACCATTAAATTAGCAAAGAGTAGTGGAATACAAGGTCCCTCTACTGCTGAATGCATAACATGTTTTACAGTTGCATAGGTCAGACTCAGCGGTCATGCTGATAAGCATTTTATAGTGAGAGCTCACATGCTTCCTGAATGGCCAGCCCTCACCACCGAAACCGAGAAGGCGTCCACAGAGGCTGCTTTCTCTCAAGACAGTGGCAATTGCTTTAGAAAGGTGAAGAAATTCAGAATAACCATTGTGGTATTAGCAGTATATTCTTAACTTATCCTTATTGAAAATAAGGCTTGGTGACTGGTATCCATGTTAACATTAGATAAGCTTTTAAAAATAGTGTCCTATTTTCATTCTGATCCTAGTAAAGTTTGGTGATTTTGTACATTTGTGATTATTGATAAGGATAATAATGAATTTTTGAGTGTCTTCAGCTTTCATTCTAACAAATAATCAATTGGAATAGCACCAAGTTGAAATGTTTTTGAGATACGAGTTGTTGAAACTAACATTCCTGTTTGAAACATTAATATTGGTGGGATAAATTAAATATTATTTGAATGGTAACAAAATGTAATTCTTTAGTACACAAAATTTTGAGTTAAAGAACAATGAAATCATGTGACAGTCTCTTTTAAAGTATAAGCTAAGTTATGTTTATAACAATATCAAGCATTTTTTTCATGATTAAACTATACATTTCTTAAAAGCTTTAAAATATAATTGACAAATATATGAAAACTAATACTGTATGTTCTTCCTCCTTAACTTTAGCCATGATTTCATTGGTGAATTTACAACAAGCTACAGAGAACTTTCTAGAGGGCAGTCACAATTCAACGTGTATGAGGTAAGAGGAATTTTATTTTATTACTCTTCTCTACTTTTATTTTATTACTCAAAGCATATATTTATGCTTTGAAAGTATAGATTTTGTAAAAGATAATTGTCAAAGGTTAACTTACCACCAGTAGATGTAAGCATCTTAAACTTATTGAGCAGACTTGTTTCTGGGATTCAGTGATCTTATTTCTCTTTAAGTCCCATGGTCTTTTAAATCCTTTTTGAGATATTCAAAATTCTTGCCTATGTAACTTTTCCCTATTTTTAAAAAATTCAATAGGATGTAAGTTTATTTTTTTCTTAAGCTTCACCCTTTATTCTTGGCCTTCCTACCAACCTTCTTCTCAAGCCCTTTTTAATAAAAAGAGTAAAATATGCATTTAATTTGTGTCAACACAGCGTTATAAAATGAACTGTGGTCCGCTTCCTGTGTTTGTGCACACTCACTGTTGTTTAAATGAAGACTGAAGGGAATGGCCAGGCATGGTTCAGTCACTAAAGAAATCCGGGTTATTCAAGTGAACACACTAGCGATTTCTGCCCTTGACTCTGCCTTGCCAGTTAACTACCCGATATGTGTTGAGCATGTAGTGTGTTTTAGCCCTGTTAATCCTTGAGCTTTGTTATCTGTACATTCTCTGTGTTTTTCATTTTAATACACATGGATAGCAAATGAAAATATCTCAGCATTTAGTCAATAATGATCACCGTTTCCCTGCCAGATGGACACTAAAATTAACCTCTTTGAAGTTAAGAGTGGAGGAAGCACATTCTTCTGCCACCTTATTGGCCTAAAGCAGTTGTATTCCATGCATTCATTCATGTGTTAGCTTATAAATAAAATATTTCTTATATGGCTTCTGTATTCCCACTCTGAGTCATGCCCAGGGGTACAGAGGTGAATAAAAACTTCAACGTCTCATGGGCGAGACACACACAGGAAATGTGATCGTGTGTGTTGGAAACGGCCGCCTCTCAGAGTACACGCTTAGCGGACTGTGGCATGTTTGGTCGGAGGACAAGCAGCCCAAGAAAGCGTCACAGGCAAGGACAAAGATGCAGTAATGGATCAGCTTTTCTATCTGGGCCTTTCAAGAAAGGACTGTTAAGGCTCTAAACAGGAATTGAAAGTAATGTAAGACAGGTCATACTTATGTAGATGCCTGTGTTCTCCGTCCAGCCCCAAAGCTGAGGACATGTGTGCCAGTCCTCCTTGTCCTTCGGACTCAGCCACTGCCCGCAACCACGTAACCAGGAGCCAGCCGCTTTGCATACGTTGGTGAAGTCGCTCTGTGCCCCAGCAGTGTAAAACTCTGCCTAGGTGATCACTTGCCGCTTCAGCAGGCTCTCGGGCAGCCAGAAATTAAGGATTAAGGCTTCCTCTCGTCTTCCCTGGCCGTGCACAGAGACCTGCACATGTATTTGACCTTCTAGATTCCCAGCCACATACTTGAGCCTTTAAAAGCCAAGGCTGGTTTTGGCAGGTAGACCTTCTGTCTGATCCTGGGAGGATAGCATTACCTCCAGAACTGCAATCATACTGGGTTGGAGCTCGCTTCAAGGCTACTGCTAGGTCTGCCCTGAGGTCCTCAGTTGGCGTGCTTGTTACGAGGGCTTCGGCTGGGCGTGGATCCTGTCTGGTCCCTAGGTGGCAGAGGCTGGCTCTAGCACCTTGTTTGGTAGGGCGGTCCTGGGTCTCCAGTCAGCTAACTTGTTGCTAGGTGCACAGGCAGGTGTGGCTTCTGCCAGGTCCCTGGGAGGGCTCCCCCTGAGTGGGCAGGACTGGTCCTGGACCACACCTAAGAAGACCTGGAACTAAACCCTGTCGCTGTTTCAGGTTCCATAGCCAAGACTGAGGTCTGCAGACCTGGCTCTGGGGGCCCAGATGAGCGTGTCTCCCACCAGGTTCCTGGGTGGCTGGACTGCTTCCTTGACTGAGACTGGAGGGGCTGGAGCCAAATCTAGGGATATTTCAGGATCTCCTGAGGTGCAGACATGAGTGTTTTATCGAGGGTCTTTGAGTCAGCAGGATTGCTCACAGACTGGCTGGATGGGTCTGGAAATGAGCGTTGGGCCCTTTAAGGGTCTTTGGGCTGCAGACAGCGCCGTTTCCGCCTGGGACCCTGGGGCCGCAGGACTGGTGGCGGACTGCAGCTGGTGGGGGACTCCAGGATCCCCAAGGGTGCACACGCCGGTGTCTCCTGCTGGCTCCAGGGGCCAGCAAGCCTTCAGATGCTTTTTAAATCTTTACGTTTTTAGTCTCTGCTGCAGCCCACTTGAGCCAATTACTTTTTTCTTTCTAGAACGTTGCATTTGCCTAGTCCCTTTTGTTGGAGCCCTAGTTTACATTAATAAATTCTAGTTCAAATGATACTTATAAATTCTTTCATCTTTCTTTCCTTATCAAAATGCTTCTTTTATATTTTGGATTGAGATGTGCTGAAAGATCCTTTCTTAAGGCACTTATCCTACTAGATTGATTAACCTATTAGCCTGACAGGCCTCCCTCGTCTTTATATTCCCTGTCCCCTCCGGTGTCTGGGACAGTGCAGGAGTGCAGTGATGTTTCTCATGGCATAAACAGTCCAAAACTCAGCCTCCTGTCCGCAAACCTCACCTTTACCAATTACTGTGCAGCCTGGGTGTCCGGTTGAAATTATTACCAGTATAAAGCAATAGACTCAATAGAGCCCTTATATATTCACATATTTGGGTGATTTGCTATGTTAGTGTACTTAACTCAATGAAAAATTAAGTCTTTTGACTCTATTTTTCTTTCACAACTTGTATTTTTTTTCTATGGAACAATCATTANTAACTCAATGAAAAATTAAGTCTTTTGACTCTATTTTTCTTTCACAACTTATATTTTTTTCTACGGAACAATCATTGNAATGAAAAATTAAGTCTTTTGACTCTATTTTTCTTTCACAACTTGTATTTTTTTTCTATGGAACAATCATTATTATTTAGAGCCTTGGGTATTAAAGCTCTTCCTCACATCAAGAGATACAGGTGGGTAAGGGTAATCAATGCATAAAGTAATTGAAAACATGAATGAAAAAGCTTTTTTTAAAGACGAATGTCACTACTACCTATTGCAGAGGCGTTTTGGCTAAATTACTGTGCAGTAATCATGCTAAAGGCATTGGTAAATGAAGAGATGCAAAAGAAGCGAAGGCAGCAGGCTGAACTACACACTTTCAAATAATTTTAGTATCAAACCTAACGCGTTGTAATTGTTTTCTCTTTTTAAGGTGGTGAATCCCAAAAAGAAAGTAAAAAAGAAAAAATATATTAATTCGGGAACAGTAAGTCCAATATTATGTTATGCATGAAGGATTCAAATAAATGAATAAAAATATGTACGTGTAACATTTTTGATCAGAACAGAAGTAACTCAAGACTGAGCCTCTTCTTTTAGAATTTTAATATGAAGGTATATAGTAATAGAAACTTGCTGTGGGAATGTTTCTGATGAAAAGCACCTTCTGGGAGGTACTGACCCGGCTTTCTGCAGGTTGCTCTAGGGGTTGTAATGCCTATGAGGGAAGCTGAAGTTTTCTTAGGAATTCTTCATTTAGTGGAAACACACTGGAGAGAATCACACAGACATGAAAAGTTTAAGTGGCCTTTAGAAATACTCCTTATAGGCTGCACTTAATTATTATGACTGATATTGTGGCATGTGAAAGTGCTTGTTTATAGTGCATTCACATTTACAGCTCTGTAGAAATGCTGGACTAAGTCAGCGCAGAAGGTGCAAAAATGAAAGTATATTAAAACCGTGAAAAATCAAAATCATCCTATTTTGATAAAAAAATATACTGAAGATTTTATCCTAAGGTTAATTCTCTTTGGGAGACGCAAAAATCTATATTCTCTCCAAATTTCCTTTTAAAGATTTCTATAAAACAAGACACTTAAAATATTAAATGGCCTCATTAGAGGACCATGACAAAAACACACATTTCCTCTGATATGGCTTAGCTCATTGATTGTGATTTTTTTAGTTTTAACCATTTTTTCAACTCCCTTTCGTATGTTCGTTGATCTATAATGGGAAGTAACACAGTGTCCTTGAAGATAATGTTTATGCTGTTCTTTACAGGAAGTAAACCGGTCATAGAGATGACTTAGTTAATTTTTTTTAATCNCAGTGTCCTTGAAGATAATGTTTATGCTGTTCTTTACAGGAAGTAAACCGTCATAGAGATGACTTAGTTAATTTTTTTTAATCCCTTTCATTTTGATAATTTTAAATGTAAGAACAATCAGTCCTGCAGTTTTTAATAAAGAACAATATCTTTGATTTTCAAATGCAAGGAAATAAGATTTTCTCCCTAATAGGAATAGAGTCCACTTGGTATTGCAATTAGAACTAGCTGGTGATCCTCCCCTGTTTTTCTCTTTTTCCCCCCCAGGTAACCTTACTCTCTTTCTTGGTAGAAACAGAAGTTTCATTCCTTGACTATATTAAAGGAGGGTAAGTCATTCCCTGAAATTGGATTGTTGCTTAAGCATTTCTTTAAATGTATGTAGCAAGTGTTACCACTAGGTAACAGGCAACTGAAATAATCACCTTTATTGTGTTTTGATGGCAGATCAATTGCACCTTTGTTTCAGACCCATAAGATAAACTTATATACCAAGAGCTATTACTTTTGGAAAAAACTGTAACTTTCTTTGACGAGGAGAAAAAACTTTATTGTGTTAGTAATAGTTGTAAAGTTGTTATGTGTGCTTTCCTAGAATGTTTTCATTTTCCTAACACATGGGCGTTTTCAGATTCACTTTTTATTATTTTTAAAATTAAAGAAAGCTGAGGGCTTGTGGCAAATGTTTATTCTAGCTCCAGAATATTAAAGAATGTATCTTGTCATGAAATCATAATGCAGTTATGGATGGTGAATAGTCATTTAGTTGCTCCCTAAGCTTCTAGGCAGGAATACATATTAGAAAAAAAATTGGTTGTTCTAACCATTCTTAAAATTTGTCAGAGTCCAGACAGAGCCTGGGTAGGTAATATATTATGGATTCTTATACCCTGGTTGTTAAGAAGGTTTTCCTAATTCGTCCCTATTTTTAACCTAGTTGCTCCTATTTTTTACCTAACCAAGCATCCCTAGAGATTGCAAACAATCATCTATTACCAGATGGTCTAAAATATCCACATTTTCTAATTTATTTGCTGTTACCTTGTATTTACAATATATAAAAATAGTAAGGGGACAAATTTGAATGTTTAGTATTCAAATTTGAATGTTATTTCATGACAAATAGGAGCAACCAGGGACAAAACTCATGTAAATCTCTTCCTAATTATGATTCAGCACTTTTCTTTTCAATCTTCAGTCACTGATCGATTGTCATGAAGCCTAAGACAGGGTGGGAGAATGAGGGGTCCAGAGGAGCAAGGACAGTTTCCCCAAAAAGGGAGAGCTTTCACCATTTTGCTCTTATTTAAGGAAACAAA